TCATAATAAAGGATTATGTGAATATCTATATACTTTTGAAGTACATATAGAATTTCTTCCTCCATACTCACCAGACCATAATCAGAATTGTTTAAACTCTGATATTTTAGCTACTAATAACTACTTATTAATAATTATCTGTGTTCTAGCTATGAATCTAAGCAATGCAAATATTAATGTAATGTTTTAATTATTCATATTATTATAAGCTGAAAGTAATTATTTTTGAACATTAATCGAATTTAATAATGTTTTTTAATTCTAGGTTCTAATAATATTATAATTACAAATTACAGGTCATTGAATAATTTACTAACTTAGAAATTCTCTATATTAACTGATATTATCGGGCTATTATCGAATATCCTTTTATTTCATTTAACTATTTATTTTTTTATAACTTATTCTCCTGGTTTAACAGGTAAACTACTTAAATAATAGCGAATTTACAATTAAAGTAGGCATTATATATATTTTAGGGCAATCTTTTAGAGTATTGTTTAAGCGATCTTTTTTTAAGTTTATTGGTGATTATTTTTGCAGGGAACTAAGAGAAAATAGATAATAGCCTGTTTTTACCATGCAACTAATTTTCTAGAAAACGTATACTATCTATATATTTATACAATTCTGGGTGAAGATCCATATTAATTCCATATTTTGGCAACCATTGTATTCTTTTTTTTTATCAATTTACTTCAGTACTATTTAAAATTTATGCTTTTAAAACCAGCTTTATTAGATATTGTACTTATAAATCTCTTTTTAATAAGATATATGCATTGATATCATATTGTACTAATAATATATTTATTTATTTATTTTTGACAGCATCGTTCTTATAGAGGAACTCTTAAAGATATACATTATTTTGAATAATTAATATGATATTGGCTAAATATACAATCAATTTATTACATTACATTTACAATTATCAAATATATACTACATTACTGCATTATATAGGCTAAGACAATAAGTTATAAGGTAAAAGTATTTATTAATTGAATCATAAATAAAGTTCTAATGTAGAAATTTTTTTAAGAAGTGTCGTATTCTTCATTTATCTTGCAAACTAGAAAATGGTTCTATTATTTAATTAATAAAAGAAATAAACTTTAGGCATAGTATATACTTGCAAAATTTGTACCAAGTTTTAATTCATACTAGATTATATTTATACTTAATATTTGTGACTTATGTACGTATATGCATAGTTCATGGGGATTTGTAGTTGAATAGTATCCCAGTACTATAGACAGCGCTACAACTAGTATTGCCAATACAGTATAATATGATATATATAGTACTGTACAATATGTAAGTATAGTAAATATAGACGTAGCTGTAGAAATTAATTAAACATTCTCTTATTCGGTGATCATATTTGGATGTTATATATAGATATTACACAAATCATACATGATGATCGACAAACTGAGCACAGATTCAAAAATTGCGCAATGCTGTCACCTTGTGGTGACTATGAGATAGAACACAGGTTAGCAAATTATAAAAAAAAAAAAAAAAAAACAAAAAATATTATAACAAAGGAAAACTATTTATTAAATAATTTTTGTATTGTTTGAATTATTTAAAAAATTTTTTTATTGATTTTGTTGTCTATTTTGTTCAAATATTTTGTTATTTGAAATTTTTTTTTTAAAATTTATTTTTTTTCTCTTTGAAAGTTTCTTTCGTTTAAATTTTTTTTTTTTACTAACCTTTGAGTGAAGTTTTATTTCATTATTTAAAGACCAAACAATGACTTGCTAATATTCATCCTTATTAATACTTTCCATCTTTTGTAGCTCCACTTATAGATATCTTACTTCATCTTGTAATATTTATTACATTATGCACATTTATGCATTTATGTTCTCTTTGTAATCATAGAATATATATTTTTTCACCTTTGTCATACAGATTTTTTATACTTTAAATAACTTTTATGCTTACTGACTAATGAATATAAATAAAATACTTGTATAACAAATAACAACATTTTTATCAGTATTCGGTTTGGAGTGATTGGGTGTCACATAGTTAATTAATTAAACATTATAATATTATACTTAAATTACTGTATTGCATTATTACAATATTAAGGTATTATGGTATTATGGTATTACAGAATTGTGGCATTGCGGCATTGTAGCATTGCAGCATTACGGCATTATAGCATGTAATTTTTACAGCAATCAGATGCCATGCTATAATTAATTCTACCACTGGTAAAATGCCATAATTGCCATAATTCAGTAATTCTATCACAACTATATTTTGAAACAAGCCAGTTTGATTATCAGGACCAAACTGATCTTTAATTGTCAGCAACTGGATAACCATATCAAAAGAGGTGGCAGGTAGATGTTCTAAAGCTTAGGTTGTCTTTCCTACTAATAAGGGACAGCTCAATTACTACTTCGGGGGTAAAGTAATTATGGATTAATCTATAGACTTCGCAGAGATAATTCTACTATACTACTTAGTAGAATATCAGAAGAGAGGTATTTAAGGAAAGTTGGGTTAGATAGTAGGATTTATAAAGAACTCCATTGTTTATATAAGCAAACTGAGGAGTTATTCTCCTTTATGGGCCTATACAGCCTTTATTTATAATATAAAATTTGTATACAATTTATTACATTTATGGCAAATATGCTATTTATCGCAGATATGACATTTAATCCATATATTCTATAAATGAGATATATGCCATATATTGCATAAAAGCAATATATCCGATATATGTCAGATATGGCAGATATGTAATACTGTATATGGCATATATGCAATTTATGCAATGATTATTCTCGTGACCTGTAGTCATGTTATATAGTGTGAAACCTGTAATATGACCAGATCAAGTCCCCCCATAAATTAATTATCAGGTGACTTCAGTAACTCCAAATTAAGGCTTCTCAAGCTGCACTGGCCGAACTGGCTACATAGGCAACTCTGGCTATTATGGCTAAAAAGGCAGTGGAGGCATATCTGACCTGGAGAGCTAGATGGGGGTTATAGATAGTCAGGGGAAAAGGGCAATATAGCCAGTATAGTGATTAAGAGCAGAGTAGCCTAATGAATGTAAATAAAGAATTTCATTATAAATAAAGGCCGTAAAAGCCCTAAAGAAGAGACATCTCCCAACTTCACTATATTAAAAAATATAATCTGACCCTTACATTATGATATCTAAATAATATATACATAATAAATCCTAAATAAATCTCACTAAATTACCCTAACCCAATCTCTTGCTTATATCTTTTCTCGTTAAATCATGCTCACGTGACTCTCGTTAGTTTGATACCTGTTCAGTTATTAACCTGACGTACTAGGTACAACTGTGGTTTATAAGTCTAGCTCACCCAAAGTAGTGTAATATAGTTAAGGTTAAAGGAAGACTAGAAATTACTCGGATAATAGAAAGACCTTTCTACAGAACCAACTAACTCACCAAACCTAATATGCCTCTTTCCAGTAAAGCCTACTATAGGTTACACAAAGTATTTGGATTATCAAGTGACTGACTCGCCACTATACCCGGTTTCATTTGGTGGTGACTGTGAGATAGAACAATAAACTCGAAACATCACTAGATTAAAAGAGAAAATAATAAAGTGAGATATGAATACATTAAATAATAGTGACATTTAGCAAAAACAAGTGAGATATAGAACCTCACTCAAGATTAAGCCTAGACATGAAGAGGACATACTGAATAAACTTGTGCTAGAAATAATCCATAGAGACCCAAGACTATTCAAAAAGTATATCATCCTACAAAAAGAAACAAATTCAATAAAGAAGGAACGTCTAATAAATGAGTTAATAGACGAACTCGTAGAAACAGAAAAATTACTGAGAAATAATCCTGTAAAAAAGAGACTGCCTAATAATCAGATTAAGTACAAAAGTGAACAAGTAAATATTGTGTACTTACCCTCGTATATAAATATTTGCTCTGGTCTAACCTCTCGAAAGAAAAAGCTCGAAAGAAATAGATATAAGAAAGTAATGGTATCTGAAATTCTCGACACCTACTACGATATCCTAGAAGTATCAGGCAATGACAATGAAAGGAAAGATCTAAAAAAAAACAAGATGTTAAATTAGGTGCTAAAATAGCATTAGAAAAGTTAATAAATGGTTACCTAGAAACCTTAAAGACCTGGATGCCCGAACCAAATAAATCTGAAAAACCAAAATCTGCTAAATCGGATAAATCTGAAGCAAGTCAACTGAATTGGATGTATATGGTTAGATCTTGTTATATAAAAGGAATTAAAGTTAAAAAGGATAAAAATAAAGGAATCAAAGTCAAAAAGAAAGTATATGAGGCACATACTCATTATCAAAAACCTGATAATACCGGCTATAAAGATGAAAATGAAGCATTTAAAAAGCCTTCCAAGACCACTGAAGGGAACTTCGAACCTGATAATGATAATGATGAAATGATTTCTGAAGGTGATAGCGAGAACGTGAGAATATTAAAGAAACTTGACCTAGACTACGCCTGCAATAATTGGATAAACAAAGTAAAAGACTTTATGAAGACGAACCAGGAAGTACTGAAGATAGAAAAGTCACACCTATCTGAACCCGAAAAACTTTCTATGCCAAGACCGAAGACCAAACCAGAAGGACCATCTACAATGAAGCAAAAGAGGGAAGAAATATCAAAAACTGAAGTTAAACTCGCAAGACCTATAAAAGAAACAAATACAAAAATAGTAGAAAAAAAGATTGGAGGTGAAAAAGGAATTAGAATTGCAGTTGATAAATACAAAACGCTAAGATATGCCAATAGAATAGTCCAAGGACTCGATGCTGAAGAGGCGGATGGAAAGAAGGCGTTTAAACAGCATTTGAACTCTGCTGAAAATGGTGATAAAAATAAGACAAATGAATTAGACCGAAAAGAAATTCCTGAAAAAATGTCAATACCTATTGAACCAGAACCACCACCAAGAAAAGAAGAAGACAACGAAAAAGAACCTAAAGATAAGAATCAGAATAAAGAAATTAGTATAGATAAACAACAACGAAAAGACAAAGAAAGAAAAGAACACTTATCCCATGAAACCAATCCAGGATGGAACCCTATTACAAAAGATTTGTTAAAGTTGGAATACCTAAAGTCTTTATGGATCTTATATAATAAAGTTCAAGAGAAGAAAGTCAAAAGAACTATCAAGATTGTTTATAAGGCTTTGTCTATCACTACGTCCTGGTTTAACTCCTGGTATCTGAGTTTATGCGTGGTACGCATGAACTAAGCAGGGGAGAATGTGAAACCCGTAACGTAACCAGGCCAGGTCCCCCCTTCCCGTAAATTAATTGTCAGGTGACTTCGGTAACTCCAAATTAAGGCTTCCCGGGCTGCACTGGCCGAACTGGCTGCACAGGCAACTCTGGCCACTACGGCTAAAAAGGCAGTGGAGGCATATCTGACCTGGAGAGCTAGATGGGGGTTATAGACAGTAAGGGGAAAAGGGCGATGTAGCCAGTATAGTGATTAAGGGCAGAGTAGCCCAACGAATGTAAATAAAGAATTTCATTATAAATAAAGGCCGTAAAGGCCCTAAAGGAGAGACATCTCCCAACTTCGCTATATTAAAAATATAATCTGACCCTTACATTATGATATCTAAATAATATATACATAATAAATCCTAAATAAATTTCGCTAAATTACCCTAACCCAATCTCTTGCTTATATCCCTTCTCGTTAAATCGTGCTCACGTGACTCTCGTTAGTTTGATACCTGTCCAGTTGTTAACCTGACGTACTAGGTACAACTGTGGTTTATAAGTCCAGCTCACCCGAAGTAGTGTGGTATAGCTGAGGTTAAAGGAAGACTAGAAATTACCCGGATAATAGAAAGACCTACCTACGGAACCAACCAACTCGCCAAACCTAACACGCCTCTTTCCAGTAAAGCCTACCGTAGGTTACGCAAAGTATTTGGATTATCAAGTGACTGACTCGCCGCTGTACCCGGTTTCAATAGTGTATCGTTCTGGACCCAGCCTAACCACTTTTCGGGTCTCACAATTTCAACCCGACCCGACCCGAATTTTCGGGTCGGTTCGGGTTGGCTATAACCCGACCCGAACCCGACCCGTTCGGAGCACTACTTAGGATTTTAAAGAGTATATTAGCGTAGCAGTAATTTATGTAATGTTATGAGCGATTTATTCAATAAAATTGGGACTTTATTGTTTTATGAAGCAAACGAGACTTGATTTTCTCGGGGCAATTAGGCCCTTTATTTATAATAACTTTTAACTATAAATTGTTTTAATGAAGAAATCTCGCTTTTACATTTAATCTAATTTTTTTTATCTACTTATTTAAACTATTATAATTATTAAACCCCTTTTCGCTATTAAATTCCCCTTCTCTGATATATTTAAGAAATCGATTTATTAAATTGCCGGGATGTCTATATCAGGAGAGGATCATCATAGCTAGTGTCACACTTGAAATCACGTAACTCAACAACCTATCGAGAGAGGCGTTTAGATTTGTCGAGCGGAGGTTTAAGATTTTAGTTATTGTTCCGGACCTAAGTCACGTGGCAGGCCTTCTTTACGTTATGGAGTCTTTAACTTCCCTTAATCAAACTTAAGCTGACTTATCCTCTTCCGTTAGAATAATCAGACACAAGATTAAGCGGCAAGTTATTCCTTACTCAACAATAATTCAACGATTACTCTGTAACAAAGAGTAATTGGGCAACGTAACGTTATCACGGGACAGGATTATAATTTAGCGAAAGACTTTTACAAGGCAACGATCAGGTAAGTGGTTTTACGATTTATATTTTTTGGGAATTTATGGATTAAGGACAGAACACTTGATATTTCAGATCAGAGTTTGATAGGTTTTATCAAAGACTTCGATATTAAAGATCAATTGCTCGATATTGAGCAGAGGGGCGAAATGCCCTTTATTTATATAAAATATAGTATAGTACTGAGTTAAATGGTTCAAATCGTTTAAATCGTTATAATTGTTAAAATGATTATAATCATTAAAATGATTATAACGATTAAAATCATTAAAACGATTAGAACGATTAAAATCATTAAAATCGTTATAATCATTTAAATGAATGCCGGGATCCCTAAAAAAGTCAAGGATCTACCTAACCGAAAAATTATGCTGCGGATTGTTCCAATGACCTCAGGCGGGGTCCGGCCTGGCAACATTTCCCGATCCACACTAGAAAAACGTGCTTAGCCGCAGCTTATTCTAAGTCACGTTATTGAGCCTCACAATACTAAAAAAAATCCCAAGTTATTTATATAGAATAATAGACATGAAGTTATTCACAATTATTAATTATTTTATATAATTCTGTCAGCGATCATGCGACGGCTATATTATTATATTTGATCATAATAGAAAATTTTCAATTTACCAATAAAAATGTGATCCGTTGCATAATTCGACATGAAAATAAATCGCATTTATTAATTGATTTTTTTTTTTACAAAGTGGTATACTTTTTACGCATAATTGAACATTTGATTAATTACAATATAATTAGCTCTCATAAAAAAAGAAGACACACTGAACAATGATGATACGTATCAATAAAGGCATAATCTATTTCTATCTAACTTAATATAGAAAAATAAAACTGCAACAGATCTAGAAATGATGTAATTATTTTATTTATTTTTTTTTTCTACAATACAAAAAGTTTTAAACCTTATAATTTTAATAAATTTACATTAAAAAATAAAGAATAAATTAAAAATTAAAATAGAAAATGTATTTATTTCAGATA